GCACAGAGCTATGGAGTTGACTGATTGTGGACTAAACTTCTAAAACTGAGCCAAAATAAACTTTTCCTCCTCTAAGTTGTTCTTGTCAGGTCTTGATCTTTGTGAGAAAAAGGCAGACTAAAACCATACAATTAGAACCATACCAGGTAGTGTTATAATTTATGCTGTTATCATCATACATCATACATAATTTAGAAACTATTATATATAACAGTATCTTCACAGTGTTCTTCTTTTCTCAAGCAGTGCTCCAGGATTGCTTTTACTTTCTATTTGAGAACTTCCTATACTAATTATGTCTGCTGTTGACACATTCTTTTAGTTTACCTTCACTGGAGAATGTCTTGATTTCTTCTTCATTCCTAATGGATACTGGGGAGAGAAGTCTAGGTTGACAAGTTTTTTTTAGTGTTTGAAAAATGTGCCACTTCCTTTTGGCTTCCACACCTTCTACTTAGAAACCTACTTTCTTTCTCGTTGTTTTACTGCTGTTCATAATTTATCTTTTTTTTTTTTAGCTGCTTTCAAGATTTTTTTGATTATTTACTTTCAAAAGTTTAATTTTTCAGGAGGCCAAGGCAGGAGGATCACAAGTAAAAAGCCAGCCTAAGCCAGGCCCTAAGCAACTTAGCAAGACCCTGTCTCTAAATAAAATATTTTTTAAAAAAGGACTAGGGATGTGACTCAGTGGTTAAGCGCCCCTGGGTTCAATCTCCTGTACTCCCCCCGCCAAAAAAAATCCAGAAGTTTAGTTATGATATTTCTTAATGTGGATTTCTTTGAGTTTATCCTGTTTGAGGTTAGCTGAGTTTCTTAAATCTGTAGGTTTATGTCTTGCCAAATTTGAGAGGTTTTAGCTATTATTTCTCCAAAACTTTTTTAGCCCTGCCTTCTTTTCTTCTCCAACAATACAAATGTTAGATGTTTTTCTCCATAGGTCTCTAAAAATCTGTTCATTATTTTCTAAAGTCTGTTTTGTCTCTTGGTCAGTTTGAGTGATTTCTGTTGATCTGCCTTCTAATTCACTGATTATTTATCTGTTCTTTGCATTCTTCTGTTAAGCCTGGTTTCTACTGAGCTTTTACATTTCAGTTTACTATATTTTTAGTTCTAAAACTTTTATTTGGTTCTTCTTTGTATCTCCTATTTCTTCTCTGTTTTTCATTTGTTTCAATGTGTATTATTACTTATAGAAGCATTTTTATAATGGTTTTTTATAATGTTTTGAAAACTGTTTCAGATAATTCTAATATCTTTTGTGGTGGTGTCATCTAATGAATATTTCATTTTTCATCCTGGTTCTTGATTTGATAAGTTATTTTCCACCGAAATTTGGACTTTTAAAATTTGTACTATGAAATTCTGTCTTGTCTTCAAACCTTTTGTTTTATCTGGCGTTCACTCTAGAAGGAAAATTGGGGGTGTTGACTTCTTACTACAGGCTTAGAGTAAGAAGTCTATTTTCCCCACTCAGCAATAATCAACACCCAAAGTCAGCATGGCTCCTTCCTACTGCTAGGTGAGGATAGGAGTTCCAACTCCCCATATGGTCTCCACTGATACACCCTAAGTGGGTGATCTTGTTTCCATTAGGTAATGGTAAGAATTCTGGCTTTCACCAGGCTTCCCCTGGTAACACTTAGTTTGGGTGGAGGAATAGCTCCAGATATTGGGATGGAAATTCAGGCTCTCCATTTGGTTTCCATTGACATCATTAGTGAAGGTCTCGTTACTAGCCCTTGGAGATTAAAGTTGTGGCTTTGTAATTGGAATTTCCTCAAATGCCCAAGCAAGGTGATGCCTAAGAGTAGAAGCCTAGACTCCCATTTGGCCTTTACTGGCATGGGTATAGTTGGTGCCATAATCTTTTCTTTAGTATTTTGCTGGAGTATAGGGCAGTTATTTTCTAAAATTTTCTTTTTAGGTTGCCATTTTCTCAGTTCTCTGACTATGAAGGACATTTTTTGAGGGGGTAGGGAGACATTTTTGTCTGGTAAATTGTTAGCATTGCCAGGATGCCAGCTTTTTCAGCTGCAAATCTAGGATATATGAGGCCAAAAGGAATCTCAGAGAAGTTACTACTGTGTCATTCCCTATATTTTTCAGACTCACTAACTGGTCTTTGTCTGTCTTTCAGAGTCATCTTCTATTTGTTTTTATAGTATCCAGGATTTTTAAATGTACTTAATGAGAGAGATGGGAAAATTACTCCATCTTCCCAGAAGGAGAAATTCAACTAATTCCTGACAGAGTTGAAAAACACAATTTTGTAGAAACAGAAGAGTCCTCAACAAACAATGCTAGAAGAATTATATTGTAGTAACCTTTAATCCCTATGATGCAACAAGTATAAAAATTAACTCAAAATGGATCATAGGCCTTAGTTTAATATCTAAAGCTTCTGGAAGAAAACAGAAAAAAAGTCATTGTGACCTTCAGTTAAGTAATGTTTACTTAAATATTACACAAAAAGCACATTTCATAAAAGGAAAAAGATGATAAATTGGATTTCATCATATCAAGGACTTTGCTGTTGGCAAGTAAAAAGATAAGCCATAATCTGGGAGAAAATATTTGCCAAATCATATTTGATAAAGGACTTGTATCTAGACTTTACAAAGAACTCTCAGAATTAAGTAATAAAGTAAAATTTAAAATGAAAAGATTTGGACAGCTCACTAAAGATAACATGACAAATGACAAGCACATGAAAAGATGCTCGGCATCATTTTTCATTAAGGAAATGTAAATTATAGCTGCACTGAGATATCTCTCTGTACCTACCAGAATGTCTTAAAGTTAAAAATGCCAACTGTTCATAAGTTTGTTGAACAACTAGAACTTTCTTAACCACTGCTGGCAATGTAAAATGATGCAACCTCTATGGGAAGCAGTTAGTTTCTTCAAAGTTAATCAAGCATACACCTATCATATGGCCATTATTCTACTCCTAGATATTTTCCCAAGAAAAATGAAAGCATATATTTTTACACAACTGTTCATAGAAGCTTTGTCTATAATACCCCCAAATTAGAAACAACCTAGATGGCTTCAACAGGTTCATGGATAAACAAATTGTGGTATGTCTATACAATAGATCTGTTCACAGAAACTGTTCAGTAGTTGCCTGGGGTAGGAAGGGATTACAATGTGGTGCAAAAGTCTGAGAGGAGTAAAGGGGATGTTTGTCTTGATTGTGGTCTCAAGCCTTATCAAATTTTATACTTTAAATATATGCAGTTTATTATATGCCAGTTATATCTTAATAAAGTAATAATTATAATGTTTGCCACTGATGGAAGAAACACTTATCATATGCCAAAATAGCACTATGTTTTTATACCTTGCTTTCTTTTATCCTCAATAACTTAATGAAGTTAATATATTCTGTTCCCTTTTTAGCTTGAAATTTGCTTAAGTTCACATAACTAGTAATTCAGTAGGCTACATGCAAAGATCAGTCTGCCTAACTCCAAAGCTGCTCTGTGTGTTGCCTCTCATGCCTGTTTCTCATGATAAATATACAAAATTTTTAAGTTTATTAGACATATTTTCTCAGTACATGTCTCTCCTCTAGTAACAAAACTCATAATTGGGAAATAAAAGCTGATTTGAGATAAAAGGAAGTAAAAAAAAAAAATACCAAAGTACTAGTATTCTGATAGAGTCAACAACCTCTGACATACATGTTGGCTTGACCTTCCCTTTAAACTCCCAGGCACCTCATTCTTGGTATTTCTAACAGAAGTCACTGAGTAATAGAGTGTCCATTTCATACATCAAAAATCACATTTTTTCTGTTTAAAATAGCTCATGTATAACTAATTAAAAGTAAAAAATTAAAAAATAAAATAGCTCATGTGGTGGCACATGCCTGTTATCTCAGTGATTTGGGAGGCTGAGACAGGAGGATCATAAGTTCAAGGACCACCTCAGCAATTTAGCAAGGCCCTAAGCAACTTAGTGAGATGCTGTCTCAAAATTTTTTAAAAGCTGTAGGTGGGGGAGACGGGGATGTAGCTCATAAACCCCTGGGTTCAATCTGTAGGACTGAAAAAAATAGCTCAGAGTCTCTTCTAGCATTCTATCACTTGCACCATTTTAGTTTTTCTCTTGTAATGGAGAATTTTTCCAGGCAACTGGCATTCATCAGTTTACTAAATAGCTGCTGGCATAACTAACAAAATCCTGGATACCGGAAATAGAGATGAGTTAGAGATAAGTGTCACTTCGTTTTGGTTTTGCGATTTGAGTCTGCGCATACATGTTGTCATTTAGTTTTTGTTATTTACTCATTTAATTTATTTATTTTACAGGCTTGGGATCAAACCCAGGGCCTCACGCATGCTAGGCAAACATTCTACCACTGAGCTACATCCCCAGCCTGATATGTCTTTTTAAATGCTTGCTTTATTCACTTATCCTGTTTTACTTCCCTTGGCTCTTTTTCATTTTTTTTTTTTTTCAAAATTTTGACCAAGCTACCTTTTTCACATCTTTTGCTTATAGCATTTGAGAAAGAGGTGATCAGAATTAGAAAGGAAAAAGGGTAATTGAGAACTGGAATTCATTAAACATGGTCCTGGGCTTTCACGAATTTTCTTCCCCTTAATATATTTTATATTTGGTCTGGCCATTTTTTCTTTTCTTTTTTTTTTTTTTTTGTTTGTTTGTTTGTTTGTTTCTCCCCGTACACACTTTTTTCCTTCACATTTTCTCTAATCTACAGAGTACTTCTCAATGATTTCTATTTTCTTCTTTTTTTTTTTTCAGTAACTCTTACATATGTCTTTATATGTTGAAGATATCATCGTATTACCTTTACCAGCTAGAAAAAGAAAACACATCTTTGAGGCTTCTGTCATTTGACTTTACTGCCTGTTCCCATTTCATATGTCTCCATCTATCTAACCAACAACTAAAATTTTAAAATATTTCACATCATATTAATATCAGTAGCTTCATGGTAACCTGATTTTTTCCTTGCCCTCTTCTTACAGGAATAAATGAAGAAGAGGAGAAGAAAAAAGAAAAAAGCAAAGAGAAAATCAAATTGAAAAAAAAAAGAAAAAGGTATTTTATAAATAGCATCTTTAAAAAAGAAAAAAGTAGAACCATGATTCCAGGAAGGATTATAAACCTTTATTTTTGATATATAGTTCAGTTAATTTAATGTTAACATTTTCTTAATAGAAGTTAGATATTCAGTTGTTTCACTAAAATAGCAAAGTCAGGTAAAGAATCAAAAATAAAGTCAGTACTCATTCACCTTAATTTTTGTTTTTACAACAAATCAAGTTACAAATGTGTGATAATACCTATTCTTTTTTTATATTTTATTTATTTATATTCTAAGTTTTAAATTTCAGAATAGTAGCTAAGCTACTTTTCACATTTTATCTTCATAAAGATGAAGTTGGAACTTAAATATTTGAATTCTCATATAATCATTATGCCTAAGTAATTAATTTATTAATATAATTTAATAGAATTTGTCAAGCTAAAAATTCTTTCGGGTCCTTCAGAACCTTCATCAACCACCTTCAAATTTTTACTATTATTTTAACAACTAACTGATTAAATAAATTGATCAAAAGTAGTAAAAGGCTACTTCTTCCCTGGTTAATGAATGAGTAGTTTCATTCAGACTAGAATAAATATACACATATAGACACATAGACCTTTTCTTTAAAAGCAATTGACCATAGTTAGGTCTTACTTGGACCTCTCTCAGTAGGTTTTTATTTTTATAATTACATGTATTTGAACACTTCGGTGTTGGAAAAGTTAACTCACTTTTAGGTCTTAGAAGTAAATAATGATCTTTAACATAGAAACTGCTAGGAACCGTTTCTGACTATTGTTGACATATTTGTGCCAGCTCAGCAGGGTGAATTGCTTACATGAAACATGAGATTATTCATTGTCTTCTAAGTTCTGATATACTTGTTTTATAATAACAGATTATTTATTCAGGGCTGTCTCTCAAACCTCAGAGATCCTAGGGCCTGAAATTAAAACCTTTATGTAGTTAGAGATAGGGCCACCTTATAATATGCTGTGTTAGGCCTAAATTTTTTCCTTAAAAATAAAAATCCAGAACCCAAAATCGAAAGAAAAGAGAGCAAGCAGAGAAGTCATTCTATTCAGAATACAGAAGTCAAGCAGGGTCTTTAGATAGGAAAGTAAACCAAATTTGACAAGAGCAGAGCTGAAAAGGGAGCCAAAGAATACATAAGAAAATAAGCAGCTTAGTAGGTTATCAGAAGTCTAAGGCAGTAGATAGACAAGCAGAAAAGATGCAACATTATAGAAATGAGAGAAACTTTGAGTCACAGAAGTCACTCTGAAGACTGAAGATAGCTTGAAACCCTATAGTCTCATGCATTTAATTTTGTTCCTCTCTTATATTAGTCTCAGTGTGGGTTTTAATTCCTAATAGTTACATCACTGCACTAACTTTTTAGATGCCTGCTTTAATTTAAAATAACTCAGTTTCCATCTTGTCATATGTATTTGGGGCTTAGGTCATAAATAGAATGTTATATACCTCTTTATATAAAATCTTAAAAGATGGCTTTTTTGGTTTTTTTTTTTCTTTTTCAGTATTAGGGGAGGCATTGTTCATTTTCAACTTTTATTCATTCATACTGAGGTACAATTTTAACCATCATTTTTATGTATGATAATTGCAGCCTTTTGTGCTCTTTTAAGAGAATATGCTAACAAGTCATTATATACAAATATGATGTATATAATACATTATATACAAACACTTGTATATATAATGAGGCTTGATGAATATCACTTTGTTTGCCTTATAAATTTTGAAGGGTAGCACAGCCTCCAAACTGAAAATCACAGAAAAAGTAATTTCAACTTTGTTAAATTAAAAACTCATTACTAAAATCAAGCAGAATAGAGACATTAGTTTTTGTCAGTTTTTGTGACCAGGCAGAAAAATAGTTAATTCATCATTTTTGGAGAATACAAAGTACATTTGAGTTTCTTTATGTTTATACTTCCTCTTTACTCCAAGAAGAATTTAAGATAGCTCAAATCCCATTTAAAATTACCTATCAGTCATAAATATGATTTTCAATCAGTGTGTGTTATTGCCCATAGGTCTTATTCCAGTTCCACTGAAGAGGATACTTCAAAACAAAAGAAACAAAAATGTCAGAAGAAAGAAAAGAAAAAAGAAAAAAAGACCAAATCAAAAAAAGGGAAACATCATAAAAAGGAAAAAAAGAAGAGAAAAAAAGAAAAGCATTCTTCTACTTCTAATCGTTCTGAATTCACCAAAAAGTAACTGAGACTTTGGCCTGAGTCACTAAATTTAAAAATTCATTTATAAAAATTATTTGCCCTCCTTAGAATTTGCTATATGATTATGCTTTGCAATATATCCCAACCTTTTCACACAGACATTTTTCATGTGTAGAACCATTATCCCTCTGGCCATATGTATTAAATCAGACTTGTTACTTAGTAGCCATGCCCCAAGTATAGATGTTTGTACATATGAAACATCATTTTTGACATTTGTGTCTCTGTGTGTTTGGCTAGTGCTATTACTTCTATGTTGATTATGGCTTTACTGCAGTCAATACAAGTAATGTACCTAGTGTTAACTAGTAGTGCTGAATCAAGTGTCTACCTTCCAGTGATAAAGCTGCGGGTAATGATTTGCTCTTGATACTGAATATTTTAATAGCTTTATATACTCTGATATAATGTTTAAAAATAGTGAAATTCTTCACTATTGTTTTTAGATCTCTGAGCTTTTTAAATATTGTAGGAGATGAAGCTGCTTTACTGATCTTTAGTACTTTTTAAATGAATAGTGTCTGCAGGAAGATGACAATGAAAGTATAACAAAAGTTTCATTATTTTATGAAAGGCAGAATTTCTAATACCTGTCTCCTTTGTTTTTATAACACTTAAAATATTTCTTCTTTGTTTAGAGACTAGTTCAGCCGATTAGAAGTCTGGCAGAGATGATGCTATATTGGTCAGGATTTTTAGGATAGACTCCTGGGTTGTTTTATAGTTGTGCCATATTGGCATATTTTACAGTGATACCTCAAACACGGAAATTTTATTTAGGAAGACAGCTAAATCTTCATTAGCACTGATTTTTATTGTATTTACTACATAAATTTTATGAAGCTTGTGTCTATGAGTAATGTGGAAAATTTTTATAAATGTTAGTATTTATATTTCTTTTGTCTGAAATGATTTATAGTTTTGAAGCAAGTTTCAGACAGAACTTCTGGTTTCATAAATAACTATTGAGGTGTTTCCCTCTTTTACTTCAGTGACAAATCTCAGTAGCAGTGACAAAAGTTTAGAATTTTATTCTGTACATTTTAAAATGTAAGAACCAGGGAGTCACATCATGAAAGCCTTTCTATAATGATGGAAGTTTTATATGAGTAATCATTTTCAAACATTGATTATTAGATATAAATGTTTCTTACATTTTTAATTTCACAGTGATCAGTGTTACTTAATTTGCTTAATACTTAGTATCCTTTATGCTCATTTAGTTAAATACTTATGTTATAACTGCATTGCAAATCATCCTGTCATCATGACATAGCACCAAAGATTGCAAGTACCTCATTGTGGTGCACTTCTAAAGAGATGGCTGCCGGTAAATTCATGATGGTGAAATCAGGTAAGTATAATTACTCTCACAGGCTGGAAAGTTTACTGATTCTTCCTTCACCAGCACCTGACCTGGCATGCCCCCAAGTAAGACACAGAAGCCTCATAACTCTTTTCATCCAAGCTCAAGTTCTAGCAAAGTGGTTGGTACACACTACTCTCCTAGCCTTGCAACCATGGAAGCTCTCACACTTCCCAGTTTTCCATAACCTAATTTACTCATTTGGACTCCTCAGAAAGAAATTATTTAGTTTAAAGAATTAAGAGGAAACACAAAACTATTAGATATTTATGGGTTTGTTTTGTCTTTGCTTCTCATGTTATAAAATATAATTCATTTGTTATTAAGATTTTTTAAAAGTTTTTTCAAAAGCTTTTAAAAATGATTAGCAGATGCTTCATATGAAAGGATGGCCTCATCCCATTGAGAGTATAACATGCTTAACAAGTGATAGTAATTGTAGTGAAACAGTTAATCAAGTTATTTGTTAGTTTTACATATGTGTTTTGTAAAGATTATAAATTACCTCATTGAGTTTTGTTTACTGAATAGTGGCACAATTAATGACTCAGAAGAGATATATAAAAGTCAGCCCTCATTTACTAGTACAGAAAATAAAAGATTTTAATGGCTTTGTAATTTTTCCTTTAATACTTTTCAGAATTTTTCTTAACTAAATTTCCCATATTAGCATAATTTATAAACAATTCCATCTGAATGAAAGTCATTTAATTTTTTCTAAAGTAATTTTCTTCTATGATGATCCTATTATTAGTGGGGTTCTATACAAATCTCACCTAATATATTTAAGAAGAAAATTCATGAAATTTCCTCCCACATAGAATATAACAGAGGGAAACTAAATTTAATAGTAACAATTAAGTTCTGGCTATTCTACCAACCTGTATAACTGTCAACAGACCTATTTAGCTTTACTGGGCCTTGATTTGATGACTTTTATAGATAAAATATTGTACTAGATTATCTCTGAAATCTCTTCCAGTCTTTATTTGAGTATCAGTATTTAACCAAAATTCAAGTAATATTCATTTTAGAACTTTATTTTAGATAAGCAGTGTGCCTTCAGCTTATTAATTCAACTATTATCTAGCAGATAAATGATATTTGGTTAATTTTATTCCCATCCAGTGTTGTTTTCACCAGATGCAGACAGACTTCATATTTAGATTTGCATTTGTAACCAGATTTTAAGAAGCAGTAAGGCTGTTATTTTTAGGCTGATGGACCTACTCCCACACAGTTTTCCCATTTTTTTCCTTCCATATCATCTGTTGGCTGAAATCTTTCTGAGTTTTCCCCTCCCCCATCCTCAACCCTATCCAGGGCCCAGGACCAAACTCAGGTCCTTGAGCATGCTAGGCAAACAGTCTGCCACTGAACTAAATCCCCAATCCCTCAGAGGTATTCTTAGTTCTTCATACTTAATATATCTCCATTTACATCTTTAGTTCTGTGAGGCCAAAGAATCAATAAATGAGAAGTAAAACAATTACATGTGTGTCTGT